GTGTGTACGGTGTCTGTGTGTCCGTGTGTACGGTGTCTGTGTCTGTGTGTGCATGTGTACGGTGTCTGTGTGTGTCCGTGTGTACAATGTCTGTGTGTCCGTGTGTACAGTGTCTGTGTGTCCGTGTGTACAGTGTCTGTGTGTCTGTGTGTGTACGGTGTCTGTGTTTGTGTGTGTACAGTGTCTGTGTGTCCCTGTGTGTGTGTGTGTTTGTGCCCGTGCAGCCCCGGCTGCACTCCAGCCCCAGCCCGTCCTTACCTGCAGTCATCTCCCCCGGTGCTCACCGCGTACTTGTCGTCGTGGGAGAAGCGGATGTTGGTGACGTGCGCCGAGTGCCCGAAGTACCGCTTGTGTTTGGCCTGTGGGCAGGAACAGCGGCTCAGAGGGGACACGGACAGACCAGGAGGGGCCACAGGAGCTCAGAGGGGACACAGACAGACTGGGCCCCACAGCAATCCCAGCTCCACGGCCCAGTCCGTGTCACCCCCCCGGGCTCTCCTGGGAGCTGCTGGCGATGGACCGTGTGGTTTGGGTGCTGGGAAACCCACTGCTGAGGAGTTTGGGAAAAACCAAACCTGGAGAGGTCAAAATCAAGCGGCCACTCACAAATTTTTCTGTGCAGGGGAAGTCAAAGAGCTTCACGAGCCCGAAGTCGTCCCCCGTGACGATGTTGAGCCCGGCGTGGGTCACACAGGCACAGTTCACGTCGGCCTTGTCTGCGTTGCGGGGCCAGATCCCGAGGACTTCATCTCCCAGGATGCTCCAAAAACGGGGCAAAATAAAAGCATTAGACCACAGGACTGACTTGCTGCTGCTCTTCCACACGATGGGGAGGCAACACAACCCAGTAATAAGGAATTGCTGCCTTTGAAATAAGGTTTTTCCTCTAAATCACTGCCCTGAACACGATCTCATCATGGAGACCATCACAAGAGTACAGGGGTTTGGTGTGACCCTTTAACCACCTCTATCCATAAATGCTGAGGTTTATCTCCTGTGAAACCACTGGCACTGTTCCACACAAGCACCTGGTGCAGCCTGGGTCTCCTCCATCCCTTATGGATTTGCGTGTGCCCTCCCCCAGGCATTCCGGACCCAGTGTTCCCTTGGGCACTGAGGGAGGCCAGTTCTCTCCTCAGGGAATTCTTGTTTGGAGGGCAACTGGTTCTCAAAAACAGCTGTTCTGCCCTTGGTTCCAGTTCCTCTGGAACTGTTGCTATTTACCCTCCCAGTCGGTGCCAGAGGCGCCTGCCCCCCTCCCACCAGCTGCCAGGAGCCCTCACAAACAGGGAATTTGGGGCACATTTTGATGCCTGGCAGCAGAGCAGCCGGAGGACGAGGATTCTCATTTCCCTTCTAAACCCGCCTGGTTCTCACCCCCTGTCAGATCCTGCAGGATCCCCTGTCCCACCTCCTGCAGGGGAGCACAGCCACAGCTCTGCACTCCTGGCCAGAGGCTCCTGGGTGCATCCCTGTCAGGGAATGTATTTTAATGACCCCACAACCCCTCAGCACACCCAGGACACGCTTCCAGGCCTCCTGTGCTGCTTCCAGGCCTCCTGTGCTGCCAGCATTGGCTGGGGTGGGACAAGGCAGTGCCAGCCCGGGGACAGGGGAAGGGAAGCTGCAGTGGCCCAGGCCGTGGGAGGGGCCCAGGACAGGAGCCCCGTGGCTCCGGGGCAGCCCTGGTGTAATTGTGCAGAGCCCAGACAGCCCCAGGGGTGTGCCAGAGCCCACGGGAGATGTCTCTGGCTGTACCTGGTCCACGTGGCCCAGGTGATCTTCTCTATGGCTGCAGGGTCTGTGATTTGCTTCCCCAGGGGCACCTCGTGAACCTGGCGCTTGTAGGCGCCCGTGGAGACCTGGAAGTGGGAAAGGAAACAGCTGGGACCTCTGCCAGAGATCCAGCATCCTCTGCAGGATTGCCAGCAGCAACCAGTTTGACCAGGAATGAAACATCTGGGATAAAATCTCTCCTTTCTCTTGGTTCTGTAGAATCCATCCCGTGCCACATGACGTTGGTGTTACAGGAAGATGGTTCCTGGCAGAGCTGACAGATTCCTTTCTGTCCCACACTCTCTGCCTTATCTCAATCCAGTTTTACTAAATCAGAACCATTTCTGAGGAAACCTCCCCAGTCAGGTCAGCTCTCCCAGTCCCAGCCATCCCCCAGGGTTAGAATCCCCAGCTCCTTTCCCAGGGTCGTCCCCGTTCCCTCGCCCAGGGATCCTTTGCCCTCGCACACCTCGTGCCTCCCTCCTGTCCTGCTGGCACAGCCAATGCCACCCTCCCAGGGCCATCCCAGACATACCTGGATGTACCTGCTGTCTGCAGAGAAGTCCATCTGGATGACAAAGCTGGCAATGTCCTTGCAGTACCCGATTCGGTTCAGGGTTGTGCCTTGGGTGAGATCATAGAAATCCACAGTGTGTTCCTGGGACCCCACTGCCAGAAACCTGTTATCTGGGCTGATCCTACACAAGAAAACATGGAATGGGGATGTCACTGGGTGTTTCTGTGCAAGACTTGCTTTTGTTTCTCATGTCAACACAATCAGAAGTAGGAATCTAAAGTGTGTGTCTAAATGCTCACATATTCCCGATGCTTTATTTCAGGCAAGCAACAGGGTAAGACAAATGAGGAATAAAAAGGGAAAATAAGGAAAACCAAGGAAAAGTACTAAGTGTGTTTGTAAAAAGAAGAGCTATAACATGCTCTGGGCTCAGGGTCTCCAAAACAACAAGGGTCAGTTTAAGACAAAGTTTTGTTGCCAGGAGACTGTAACCACGGACCAGAAATGCTGATTAGCTGAAGTACTTGAGGGATGATGGAAAGAGACACCTCAGTGGCTGTGTTATGTCAAAAGATAAACCAGCACAGTTATTTTGGAAAAGTTAAAGACAACAATACAAATCCTAACAGCATAAATCCAGGGCAAGTGGTCACAGACTCTGATTTAAAGTTTGATTATAAGACATTGCCGGAGTTAATTATTTAGGTGAGCCAGGAGCTAAATCACTGGAGGAGGACAAAGATAAAGAGGTTAAACTTACGCAGCTCTATCATTCTTTTGGCACTAAATAAACCCAAACCTGTTGGAGATTGGGCAGCCAAGGTAAGAGGAGTTTATATAACCTGTGTGTGCACAGCTTTGTGCTTTCCTAAGGAGCCAGAAACTTCTGCAGAGAGACAGCATTTAAAAAAAAGGCATTTTCAGTTCCATGTAGGCATCAAAGAGGAAAGTTTAGAAAGAAATCTGAAAGAAATCAAATAAAAGGAAATAAGGATAGAATTTCAGAAGATACAGGTCTAGCCATCAGGTTCTTTTAATGGTAACAGGAAAATAATAACTTGCAAAAAAGTTAAAAAGCTCCTCTTTTATGTTTCTCTGGAAAGGCTGTCGTGGTCAGAGCAAAAGAAAATTGCCCCCCATGAGGCAGGTTTGGATTCCTTGCTGTCATTTAGTTCCTGACAAAGCTGGCAAATATCTGTGGAAAAGAAAACATCTGCAAAATGCTTCTGTAGAAGTGGGGAGAAGAATGAACATTCAAGTCAAACCATTCCCATATGTTCATCTGCTTTTACACCAGGTGTGGGGAGAATCTGGACTCGTGAAAGCTTTTGCAGCTCCTAAAAACCCCTGTAGCCTTTTCAATAATGATATTAGAATAAAGTCAATGATTTATACAGAGCATTCTTAAAAATTGCAAAATGTAATTGAATTATTTTGCCAGTGGAGAAATGGGGAATAAATGAGTTGTGCTTGCTTAACCTAATTTTGGTTTCTTAGCACGAGGTTTATAATTGCTTTAAGTAAGTAAGTTATTTGTATTCATTAGCAGTAATTGAGGAGTAAATGTGATAGGAACATATTTTCTCTTGGAAAACTCTACTAGTAAGTCTGTGATCTCAACTGTATCATTCCCCAGACTGAGCCATCCTTACCATAATGGATCCATCACTAATTATACTGCAGGGTCAGATGGAATACACAGACACCCCTGAAATCCTGAGGGAGAACAGGCAACGAGTTCTTATTGATAGTTCTCATCTAATCTGATTTTACTGTGACTTTGGCTGCTCTGCAAGAAATACAGAATTGGGTGTGGATCTGTTTTCTACCTGTGGGATGGGTGGGAACTGGAGTGATTCCAGAGGGCTGCACACTGGGCTTTCCCTCTGGGACACTGGGGGGGATTCACAGCTTTGTTATTCCCAGTGCACTGAGGGCACTGGACACTCAGTTTCTGGGAGCAGAATGCTCCCAATTCCTGACCAGCATCCTAAATCCTGGCTCCCTCTGCCTCTCCAGATGCTGGTTCCCAGTGCTGTGTGTGATCAGCTGTTCTCTTCTACTGATTGATACCAGCTTAAAGACAACCTGTCAGGCTTGGCTTCCTGGAAAAATGGGTGCTAGGGGCTGGATACCACCAGGAATTATCTGTCACTGGGTATTTGCTCACGTACAAGACTGCTGATACCTCCCTCTAATTCAGCTCCTGTAAATCCGAAATAAAACTGCCTTGGAAAATCCCACCGTGTCCTCCCAGCCCCAGAGGAGTCACTGAGGCTGCTTCTAACAAACCTGTGGCTTAAAATCCACGTGGCAGAGTCAGCAGGGAACGCCCTCAGAAACTCATAAATTATGCTGGAGCTCCTCAAAGCTGGAAGTCATAAAGCAATTTTAAAAGCCAAGAGTTCGTAAGAATTAAGGGTTTTTTTCACAGGCAAACACCAGAGCGGCACAGGACATGCCCTTGGAGCTCACCCCCAGGTAGGCAGGGAGTGAGAAATTACAGCAAAAAAGCAAACTGGGGGGACATGCCTTGCCTGTTGCTTTATTCTCAATTCAACTGTTTCCTGCCATGAGGTTTCTACAGGAAAATAAACCAAATTATCACCCAGGAAAGGACTTACCAATTGACTGTGTTGCAGGAATCTCTTCATTGCACTGGGAGATGACAAAACTCGTTCAGGACGAGGGTTTTCCTTGCTGGCAAAGGCAGAGACTGCTGCCCAAGGGATTAGTGATGTCCAAGGAGCAGCCAATTGTCTGCAACAAAGCCCTGCATTTTCTCAGGATACAAAAGCAAGCCGAGGATTACAAGGGCCCGAGGCTCCTTATCGCCACACAACCCTTGTTTCAGGTTTCTTACCTCTTCTTAAAGGCTTGGAACAAATACCACTGAATTCATTTAAAGCTTCAGAATGTTTGCTGGGGAAGTATTCACACTGCTTAAAAAGAGAAGGGATTATCTTGCTTTTAAGCCTGTAATGTGAAAAGATCCCTATTGTCCACCATCTTACGGATTTCAGGCAGGTATTATATACACATTTATATTTATTTAGCCTGTTCCTACAAGGATCACTTCTCAGCCACTACCTGGAGGTGAAAACATATTTGGAAACTGCCTGTTCCTGCCATTTTGGGTCAATGAACACATGCAGGTGCAGAGGAAGGCCCTAATTTGGGCTCAGTGGAGCTGTTTGCTTGAGCCCTTTCTTGTGCCTAAGCTGCACTTTGAGCTGCCTTTTCTGGCAGTGCAGAGGATAAACCAGAGTGTGAAGGAGTGTTGTAAAAAGTCTCTCTGTACTTACAGATTATGGTTTCTTGCAGTCTGATTTTGTGGTTTCTCAGTGCTGAATCCCAGCCTGTCCAGACCACGCGGCTGCATTTCCATCCCGGGCACAGGAACTCTTTGGGAGGGCTCTGGTTCTGCAGAGTCAGGAAAGAGATTTAAGGGGCTGCCCCACAGCCCGATGGACGAGCAGATATGGATCACCTGAGGGGCAATAATTGATCCCAGCTGCTGCTTTATGGGCAGAGAGATTGAAGCTCTGACCACTGGGGCTTTGCTTGGCTCTGGGCTGTCTTTCTATTAAAGCCACACTGTCAACGATCCGCCCCAAATCTGATTTTACCTTCCCAGACAGAGGGATGCACTCAATGGGAGAAAAGTAACCCCTGGGAGGATCATCACCAGTATTTATTCCAAGTGAGATGCTTGGTTCTCAAGTAGAGATAAGCCTGACCTGTATTAATGTCTTGCTGCCACTGGCATTTGGATTTCCTGGGATTCTCTGTGGCTGGGACACTGCTGTCACATCTACAGTTCAATTGTGGCTTGTAAGCTGCTTAAATATTAAATGGTTATTGATTCCTTATCCTGGGAAACCTGAGAGTTTAAGCCAACTGAAACCTTGCAGGAAAGACTCTGTCCTGGATAAAACTGGAAGTGATGGGGTTTGAAGAGAGAATGTTGTGGAACAGCTGGAGAGGGAGCAGGAGAATGGACATTACTGCAACCAGGGGATTACTTAATGCTAAAACATGCAAAATAGCCTGAAAATCTTGGTTTGCCTTGGTCTGTGGTTGGTTTGGGACCAAAGGCAGGGCTCAGGGGCTGCAGCAGCAAAGGATTTACTCACAGGGGACATTGGTGCTAAATGGATTTGCTCTGCAGTTAAACAAACCCAGGGACTTGTCATGGAGGTACAAATAAGGTCGTTCCCAACTCTGAGCCTGGAGCTGAAGGATGTCCCTTGTCCTGTGTTCAGGTTGTCTCTCAGTGACTTCTATCAACTACTAAGAGTTTCCAGGAAAGGTTACTCACCATTAAGTGTTCAGCCCTTGGAGATTTTCAGAAAGACACCAAGGAAGTAAAGAAGGCAGAGTGTTTTTCCAACCAGCCCCGGCCCTTTGATGTGAAAAGTGTAACCTGCAACATTCTTATTCCATAGCAGCATATCCAAGCCCACAGTTTAAGTTCAAGTGCTGAACAGAGGAAAGTCTTGTTGTCAGAGTGGATTTAAACCCCCCCCAGAGTTTGGGCAGGTTCTGTTTTTAATGCAATCCTCCTCACTGTCTCTTTTAGGTTACAAAATTCGTGCCGCACACTTTGATTTTCTCACCCGACTGGGTTTGATATCGCTCTCCAGGCTGTATTTTTCCTTCATTTTTAAATAATCAGACATTTTAAAGTGAGCAAGCTGCTGATTACTAACTAATTGGCTTCAGCAAACAGATCCTGCTGGCTGCTTACCTCGAGCCAATCCTTATTAATATTCCCACACACGCAGGAGCTGCCCTCCCTCCTCGGAGGCTGATGTTACATCTCTTTAGCCACTTAGAAAATAAACCTAAGTGAATTAGGATTGACTCCTTTACCTTGTAATAACAACACTTGCCCCTCCAAATCACCCAGGCATCCCTGACTGAGGATGGAATGGAGATCATGTATGGAGAAGAAGGAATTTGGTGCTGCTGAGGGTTAAACATCTGTGGCAGGGTGTGTTCCCCACCTGGGCAACGAGAAACATATGTAATATTATAGTTTCTAGGTACAAGAAGTAGGTTTGCCTTCCATATTCCATGTTTTCTTGAGTTATGTTTGTTTGTTATATGGGCAACAAATATTAATTCACATTTTACAGGTTTCACTCGAGTTCAGCCTCTCACAGCATTTCCCCCCTGTTTTGTTGAATATGTGGATTCACACCCTCACTCTCTTGGAGGGTGTTTCTTTATCCATTTTGCTGAGCTGGTCAGGAAATTAATTGCTTTTATTACAGGCTAAAGGCCCTTAAATGCAGATAGAGTTGAGAGAAAGAAAGATATAAAAGTGTCCAGATTTTCTGAGCAATTTCTTTTTCCAGCTGAATAGTAATTCCCTTCCTCAGTCTTAAATAGGTTTAAACTCCCTTCCTTCCTGCAAATGCTGAAATCCCAAAGCAGAACAGTATTTTATGCTGGACAACTTACAGAGGTTGTGCTGTGCATCCTGAAAATCCTCTTGCAAGGGCCTGAATTCCTTGTGCTGCTGCCAGAAGTGTTGCTGTAAAATAAAAATAATAATAATAATAATAAAAGAAGAGTGCACAGGAAGAGAAGTTGTCGTTAAGAAATGCTGAGCAGGTTTTTTTTTTTGTGCCCAGAATTTGAGAAGCTACAGGAAACTATTCTTGGGTGACTTCTCCTGGTAAAGGTCACACAAATATCCCAAAAATGCCAGGAACAGCCTTTGCAGGGCATGCGAGGCCTAATGGAACTGCACCAACGAAATGAGTCACTTCTGTAATTATGCTATAATTGTTCTAATTGTATAATCTAGTTATTGTAATAAATGTGTGGCTGAGGAATGCCACAGGGAGCCCATTCCCTGTCCCTGAGCAGTAACCAGGATACATCTCAGAGGCCAGAAAAAGAGACTTTTCCTCAGCAAATGGCTGCACCTCCTGCCCAATGTGTGTGTGAAAACATGCAGGAGATAATGATCCACTGGGCAGTTCCTCAGGATCTGGGATCCAGCAGCTGCTCTGGTTTCCAGTGGGACATTCCCACCTGCCACACAGGAGCCCCAAAGGTTTGGGGTTTTTATTCCAGAGTGCTTTCAAAACAGAAGGGAACCCAAATTTATTCGATGTGCTTGAAATTTATTTGATGTGCTCGTTGTTGACTCTGTGAAGCCCCAAACTCTGCAGCAATTTACCATAAATGCATCGCCGGGGGAAGGAATTGGCATTAAAAAATCCCAGGAAAAACTGGAAATTAAAAATAAAGTCCAATGAGATTGTTGTTATAGATGGAGACACGCTCAGGGGAGGTTGAGTGGTTAATTCAATCATCTGTATTTGATGGAGATACAAGAATTCTGCAGCCTCTCCCATATGGAATGTCACTGGGAAATTGCCAGTGTTGGTATTTATGTCACACATACAGTTAAAAAATATAGTATAAATATAATAATATAATATGATAAAATAAAATAATAATATAAATAACAAAATTATAAAATATAAATAATAAAATAATAATATAAAAGAATTACACTAACAATAATTATAATAATATAAAATAAAAAATTAAGAAAATAATGAAATATTAAAAGTAATAAATAGAACATATTAAAAGTAATAATATAAAATAAAAATATAATAATAAAAACATAATAAATATATAATAATTAAATATAAAGTAACTTCTCCTTTCTGTTTTCTTTTCTTTGTTGTGATTATATGACCTGAAAGAAATTATTTGATTCTTTAAGTTTGTTAAAATGTATTTAAAGTGCATTTTTCAGCCCTTTTCCACTCCAAACATTCCATTGCTTTTCCTGTCACTCTGTTGTCCCTTGTTCAGTGCTCCTGACCTTCAGACAATGTTTCAAGTTAAAATGTTCATAGCACAGGATGAATCTTCACCCATCTCATTGCTGGCACTGCACAACAATCATCACCACCAGGTTAATTCGGGGGGGGACACTCTGCAGATTAAACAGAATGATTTTTAATATTAAAAACCTCTTGTGCTACAGCACCAAAAGCTTCCTGGTCTCTTGTTTTGCTCCTTAATGGAGGATCAAACACTGTCTGTCTGCTTGTTGCAGGAAGCAGTGGCAGCAAAAATGCCCTGTACCTAATTTTCATTACTGGGAAATAAAAAAATCCCCCTTTTATTCTCCAGGGGAATAAGAGGCCCCAGTGCAGCTCGTTGCTGTTGATGGCACTGGCATCAATAGGGGCAGTTCCATTGTCCTCTCAGCTGGAAGTGCTTCCAGAAGTGCTGTTGGAAATAGCAGAGTGCCCAGGAAATGATGGAGCTCGGAGCACACTTGTTCTCTAATGGGAAAAATGCCCTGAAATCCTGGCCCTGCCGAAGCCACAAATACATCCCTGGCATTCTCAGTAGGATTAAAGTGGTGCTTTTTCTTCCCATTTCACTTCCAGCAGCCACAGGCACCTGGAATTGCCCTGAGCCCATCTTAACATCACTCTAATTGACTCATTCAGCCTTTCCCCCTTTCTCTGTGGAATTCGCTTTTTTGTTGTTGTTTAGGGTGGTCTTTGGTTTCACTTATTGTTAAAAGTGAATCATTTCACTTCTGTAATTCTCTTTTCATAATTAGACATCAGTCGGGTCCCTCTCTTTCCCTGGAGCAGTTTTAGCACTTCCCCCATAGGCTGTTCCCTCCTCAGCCACACAATTTCCTTTTTTTTTGCTTTTTCAATTATAGAGAGGGAAATGTTA